TAAAGGAATATTATGTTAAACTAAGAAGTGTATCGATGTGTAATGTTGGAGAGCCTATGATAATGGTGCTCAAAGTGTATAATGACTAACAGTGTTTAATGGTTAATGAACCTTTGATCTATATTGGATGTTAGTTAAGAATGATTAATAAATATTGTTATAATTGTTCAATGTTGGTCTGGGACGCTGTCTCTTTATTCTAACTGTAAATTACCTCGAGTTAGTGATGTGTGGCTCCACTCGTCACGACAAATCCTCAAAATAAATAAATTTTGTGTTATGGGCAGTTTTAATTGAAACTCCAACAATTAAGCCCACGAGGGCGCTACTCGTAACACCATAAGGAATTAGAGTATACTAAACTTCACACATTATGTAGGCTATGCTAACGTAATGTTTAGGCAGTTTGGTTCGTTTAACTATTATACATGGTGTACGTTTTTTTGGGAGGTGGTTAATGAAAGTGTTCCAAAACGTGACATTAATTTCTTAATTATCAACCTAATAATTATATTTCATTATAAACTTGATTAAATCACAAAATATTTGTTATGAACATTAATTTTGAGCACCTGCTTGTAAGATAAGCTCACTAAATCTTTGTATCAGTTAATATAATTACTGCTGTCACTGGTCATTTGATACGTCTTATTGTTACACGTATTACACTATGGCGATAAATTTGTTGTTTTTTGCCTCTTCTGAGTAGAAAGGGTAATTTATATCTTTTCAGAGAGAGAGAGAGGAAAAATTTACCAATACCAACACTTTACTGGAGAGTGCCAAACAGTACTTATCATCACTCAAAAGGTCTGATGGACAATTGCTCAGTAATTCGAAAAGGTATATAAAACTTCTTTCAAATTGTTATGATTACGAAATTGCATACTCAATGCCATTCTGCTTTGCTTATCAAACTCAATTACAAATCTTGTTCATATATTTTATTTATTTTAATCTTTGATCTAATTTTGTAACTGCACAAAGTTTAGGTTTATTCATACAATTTCATAATGTCAAGCATGATGCACATAAAGAAAATCTTCGTTCTACGTGACATATATTGCTAACACCTATCTTATTGTATTTCAGACACACAACTACTACAGGTTTTGTTGCAACCATATCATCTCTGTAGGAACTTATGCCACGTTTGTTGAGTAATAAAAGTTTCATAGTCACTTAGAAGTTTTCACAGGACCATGTGGAATTCTTCTTCAATGCTATAAAAAGAGCAGGTCAGGATGAGTGCATATATTAATCACATTTCATTGAATTCTTAAATCTGATTTTGGAGTAATCTATTGGGGGAACTATGGATTGATACTTACTGGTGTTTGAAAGCCAAGCAAACATTTATAGCTGCAAGTTATTTCATCATAACACTATTAAAAGCTAAATTATAATTTGTAAAATTGAAAACGCTTTGTACATGGTATCTCTCTGATTTCAGGTGGATGGAACAAGAACCCAAATGTCCAACAGTTTTGGCCAGCATTCAGGAAACTGGTGATGCACAGTGGTGCGGTAACAGACAACACTGGCAATATGGTGAAGCTGCATGCTTCAGATAGCATAGCTTGCTCTACACTATCTCTGGATTTCTTGGGATCATCAAACGACACCACAGAGAAAGATGATCCCTTTTCCAGTTAAGATCAAGTGATGATGGAACATGATCATGCAAGCTGGACTCGGTCAGAACACAAACCATTAATTGATAATGCCACCACATACACTGTTGAATGGACTCTCCAAAAGGTGCTACCAAAGCTGCAGTGTGATCACTGTGGAGATAGTATCTTTCTGACTGTGCCTCAGCAATGTAACGATACTTATCATCTGCTGAAGTGTAAAATTAATGGTGGACTAGTCATCACATTTCCATATGAATTTTTTTTAGTACACTTGATTAAATTCAGTTCATGCAAGTTAGCAGCAGAGGCAGGTAATATGACAGGTAACGATAATCTGGACGTCATAAGACAGATACATGACACTAAAGTTTTACTGTCCTCGAAAATGAACCAGCTTGATGAGCTTCTGTCTTATTGATGGCACTGGATGTTATACATCTTGGCAATATGGTGCTGGCACAAGTTGAAATAAGTTTCAACAAGGATCGCAAGGATACTTGTATAATGATTGTCTAAGACATGTGTGTTCACAATGTGACTACTCAACTTCAAGATATCTCAGTTACCCACCATCTCTAACCATCATCAATACGCATGGGAAGGTGCACATCCTTTTAACACTGGTGATGTTCATGAGACATCAGATTGACTTTTCTGCATATTGAAGGATTCCCACAGTTCCTGTTATTTTTGATACAATCACACTGAAATTCATACTTATGTTCCTTATTTAGAAAAAAATGCAATATTGTTGCTTTTATCATACATTGGAGAAATTTGTTCATATCACAATAACAACAGATAGGAGCCTGAGGTCGAGTAGACCCGCTCCCTACTATATTTTACCGGCCGAAAGCTAAAGGGAACTCGTATATATATATATAAAAGGTACATTTCAGCACTGTCATTTCTAAATGCAGATGACCTTTTGATGACATTTAGACACATAGTTACTATAGAACACTAATAGGATCTCAGATATGAGATACATTTTGGTACTGTCACTTCCAAAGCTCAATGATCTTGAAAGGTCAAATCCAAGGTCACACATGTTTGATGAACTGTACCTACTAAACAGTGGCATTTAGCCTCGTACTATAGATCATTAATTGGAAGTTCTAAACGAAGTACAATTTTGGCAATGTGACCTCTAACCTCAAATCTTATAAATAGTGGGTGGTATTTAATTACCCTGAAAGGTCGAACCCAAGGTTGTACACGCAATCCAGTTTGATAGCCTGTTAGCAATTACTTTCGATTCACTTAGCCAGTAAGTTACAGGGCTCTTGGTCATATTTTTGAATAATTTCTAGGAACCGTGTAGGCGCAACCAAACCATAGACCATTTGACCAAATATCCAGGCTCTGTTTCAAGCCAGTCAGGTGCCAATATCATTCACCTCTGTGGCAAATTGAATACGATTGGTGGCTCTTGAAGCAATGATGCTCAGAGTGTGTAAAGTTCACGAGTTCTTGCCCCACCCGTCTTAAAGTAGGTGTGATATTTCATCCTGATTCCAAATTTAAAAAAAAATATTTCATAGAATGTGGTTAGATGATGGGTGTAAAATGAAGAAATAAATAAAATTAGGCTGTATACTTGTTTGTTTGTTTGTTGTTGTTTTTTTAATTTCGCACAAAGCTACACGAGGGCTATCTGTGCTAGCCGTCCCTAATTTAGCAGTGTAAGACTAGAGGGAAGGCAGCTAGTCATCACCACCCACCACCAACTCTTGGGCTACTCTTTTACCAACGAATAGTGGGATTGACCGTCACATTATAACGCCCCCACAGCTGAAAGGGTGAGCATGTTTGGTGTGACAGGCTGTATACAATCTCAAACATGAAGCCAGGAAATAGATGAAGTTAATGAGCGGAAATGGAAGAGGATGAGGGCGCAAAAGTTGACGAGTAGGCGGGTTGGAGAGAACGAGGGAATTTGTTCTACTCCAGATCAAGGAAGTGATCTGGTCCTAAATTCACTTATCATTACGATGGTCTGCTTAGATTCTAGTTCACGTGAGTTCATGCTTCCAAATAGAATGAGGTTCATTGATTCAATATAAATGATTTGACAGGACAAAACCTGGATTATAATGATAAAATATGAGGTGATATAGAAAAATAAACTAGAGTGTACAACGCCATTTGCTGAACCAATCGCGAGCATCCCAGTACGGCCGCCATCTTGCGTAGGGAAACGTTTCTAGGACAGCAATATAAATAATGGGCTGACACCAGTTAGGCTGTCAATTGTTTCTTGTCCAGTTTTTTCATCATATATTTATTAAAATCTCTTTGGGTATACATTTCCTGACGAAAAGCGTCTGCTCAAAATGTCGCATTAATAAACTAAAACAGTTTTCTTTTATACACGTCAGTTTATTCTTTATTTTCATTTATCCAAGTTTTTTTTTATTGCGTCTTGCGTAATAACACTCATTGAAGACTCCCAATCAACAACCGATCTACCGGGTAAACGTGAAGCAGGGTATCGCGTGAGTTGAAATATTGGTCACATTATATAAAGTACGTATACGTGAATCAGTGTAACTCGGGGTTCGACTGTATATCTCTAAGGCAATTTTTTATAATGTTTCATGCAAGGTTATTCAAACATGGCCATTTTAAAATATTGTCATAACTCAGCCATGACATGTTTTATTCTTAATCCCATTTTAAGCTATACATCTATAATTGTTAGAGAGTAGGAAATTTCATTACATTAATTTTTAAATGTCTTTCGTTTTATCATCACTAATAGTGCAGTTCAGTGAAATAATTTGAACCACTGTTATTGAATCAGGTGCGAATATTTCTATTTACTGACTTAATCAATTTTTTAAACACCAAATTAACTGAGGTGAGAAACATTGATAGTTGGTAAGTTTATAAAATTTTCCACTCTGAAATCAATTATGAAACATGCGATTACCCTAAGTTTCAGAAATAAACTAAGTCTTCTTGGAAATATATTTTCAAAATTGTTAAAACTAGACAAGAACAGTTTCAATAAAAGCAAATTTAATCAACAGGAAAGACCCGAGTTTCATTTTAATGCTTCAGACTTTTTCTGTGACATAGATATAAAATCAGAAGGTAACATATTAGATGCCGTTTCTACAATTTCCATAAGTCATAAGAATGAATTCAAGAGTCAGTACAACTAGTATAGCCAATGGATAATTTTTCTTTGTCAATGTAGAATTTTGTACTGCAAAAATTCCCTTCAACTTGTCAAAGCTTATGCAGCCCAACATAAATTAATTTTTTTTTCATTCTGGTTAATTTGGTGATATTTATTTTGGTGGAATTTAACAAAAATGTTAATGCACATTCCAGGGTAAGATAAAAGTGATTTGACATGACTTACTATTTTATAGCAAAAATTTCACAAAAATTTTTCCTCTAGCAGTATTTTTATTGTTTAGATAGAAGAGTAAAAAAAGTAAATACCTGGTATCCATTATTATTCAATATCTTTATAAAAATACTTCTTACTCTAGACTTATTGACACTTTTTTCATTAACACATTACACATTTTAAATGCTTTCACTTGATAACCAATACTTTAAAAAATAATTTGATAATATAAAAGTCAGATACTTTGAACTAAATCTGACTTCTCATACTTAACCATCATCAAAGGCTGTGATATTATTCTGTCTCAATGCACTATTTTTTTGGATTTTTTTTACATTTTATAGGAGACTGAATAGAGATTAAACAGGAACATATCAGCATTAATAACTGAAAACAGCAACTAGGGGTTAATTATATTCTACTGTGACAAGCAAAACTGTAAGTCATCTGTTCAACAATATTTCAATAGTAAATGCAACGTGTCTTGTGGAATGGAACGTCTTTCATCTTGTCATTATGATCTCTTCGGTAATCCCAAAGAAAATGATCCACTAAAATAGGATTGACTTGAAATACTTGGGGACCTGTGTTTTCTTTGATTCGTTCTTCTATTTCTTTACAAATACGCTGAAATACAGGAAAAGTTTAGCACATTAAAAAATGTTTTGAAGAAATAACTTTATAAGCCTATTGCTTTTTAAATTTACAGGCTTTAGAGAAGTATATTGCCATTTATTTAAAAGCTAGTATTAATACACTAGTTTGAAAAATGCTTCTTTCAAGTATTGTTCTATTTATGGCATTTTTGTTCTGCAACAACTGCTAAAAACTTTTTTTTTCCCTTTAACCTATTCACAACTTTGTAAATGTACATTCTGATACAAAAAGAAACATAGTTTTGAGATTATTTACTGATTAAGTGTTATTTTATTACAAGCTACAGCTATTACAGTAAGGAAAATTATTTGTTGGAAAAGATACGACTTTTCAATCACTAGTGCAATCATTCTCAAGTACGCAAGCAAAACCTGAATGCTTTTCTGTCCTTTTTTTCAAAATATACAACAGCACTTAATAATAATGCAAAAATTATAAAACAGGAAATTAATGTTTTCATTAACCCAAAACCCAGAGCAAACACATGATTAATAAGTGTAAAGATCTGATTTTGGGTGTTGAAGAGATTGTGACAAAAAATAAAGATAATTAAGTATAAACTTGGTTAATGAAAAAAAGCTGAAAAGTTTGAAGAAGTCATGTACACCTATAATATTATTAACTCACTTAACAGTGAGTTACATAGTTATACCATGTTTAATTTGAAAATTTATGAACTTAACAGAAATATATGTTATGGTATCATAAAACACTGTGACTCCACATTTTCAATTAGAAACCAAATAGTAATTTCCTTAAATACTTTTTGGTAGATTCTCAATTTAATGGATAAAATTTAAGAAAAAAACTTGCTCATTTTTCCCCTAAGAAACTAGTAAAGAGCCTTTAGTTTATTCTAGTTACTTCTAAGTTTCATAAGGTGTGCTTTATTATTTTCCACTCAAACCCAAACTTTCAAATTTTTACCTCTACAGCCCATATGGTACATCCACGGATTTCTATTTCCTGTCTTTCACCACTTTTAAGCATGTCATCTAAAAATATGTAAGTAATAAATTACATAAGTTAATTATTTGACTTATTAAATAAAAATATTTTATGTTCTTTCTTTCAGGGGGATAAGAAGTGTATAGTTGTGTTTTATGTAACCAACTTACAAAACACAAAATGTTTTACCTGATACAGTACTACAAAATTTCAGATATTCTTATCATTCAATATATTTGACTAAAACCTTGAAATATACCAGTATGATACTTTATTTATAAAGTAATTAGGAATAGATTAACTACAAAAGGAGAGTAGGCAGTTGCCTATAATCCACCAATGTTTATGTTTCTTTTTTTAATAACAGCTTTGTCAGATAACTATAATTATAGTGTGAAAGCCTTTTCCTGGTGAAGTGTAATTATAATCAATTATATAGTTTGTACTAACTTCTTTTTTTCAATATATATTTAGTAGTTTAATTACACTTTCAATAAAAGTTCTCCAGTATAAGACTATCTATTTAGCTTGGTTTTTGATTTCTAATGGCTAATACTTCTTTAATTCATAATAAATAACCATTTTTTGCAGTTCCAATTATTTGAAACTGTGCAATAGTTACAGGGTTGTCACTACAAACTAGCAAGTTTCAAAATGTTAAATGCTTCCACATACTATGGTAAGCTACATTACTTTATCTACCATCTTCTTAAAAATCCTTTATATGCTCTAGAGTACTCGGACCATTTACACATGTAGATGGAGCAGTTTGGTTTGCCTATTTTGTATTTAACATAAAACAATTCCTTATTTTAACATTGGGTTTAATAATGACTCAAAGTTCTACATGTGGATAAACATCGCACAATAAAGTCTTTAGTTGTTTCTTTCAAGGCATGCTTATCAGTGAATAATAATGTTATATGAAGTCTTTTTTGGTACATTATATACCCCTGCTTTAGAGGTGGGCACTTTCTTGATGTACTTCGTTGGTATTGAAATCATATACTTATCAATAATATAGAAATAATTAAAAAAGAAATAACATCAAGTGCTTTTTAAGTAAGAATGATTTTCCAACAAAAGTAACATCTAGCATAATCAACGAGTATTTTATGTTAAATACAAAATAGGCAAACCAAACTGCTCCATCTACATGTGTAAATGGTCCAAGTACTCTAGAGCATATAAAGGATTTTCAAGAAGATGGTAGATAAAGTAATGTAGCTTACCATAGTATGTGGAAGCATTAAACATTTTGAAACTTGCTAGTTTGTAGTGACAACCCTGTAACTATTGCACAATTTCAAATAATTGGAGCTGCAGAAAATGATTATTTATTATGAAGTAGAGGCACTGGCCATTAGAAATCTAAAACCAGAATTAAATAGTCTAGTACTGGAGAACTTTTAGTGAAACCTTTTTTTTTTACCTCTACTAACATTTATATTTGCTACAACTTACAAGCACAACTAGTTTTGATTTTGTTAATGTCTGAAAATGCATCTTCTTGACAAAAATGCACAATTTGGTTGATTTTATACAATTAACCATTAATGTTAAGAAATACCTGTTGTTTTCAAGCTTTTGCCAATGTTTGGTTTTTAACAAATATATAAAACAACATGAACCTTCAAATAATGAAATAATCAGATTATCAAAGTGAGAAATCAAAAAAGAAAGGATGTGTGAAAATCAAATACCTTAGTATTTGTGGATTTGAAAATGTTATTAATAATGAAATAATAATTTGACAATTATACTGGAGGTATAAACAGACAAGATGTTAGATATACATGAGTGTTTCTCTTTAAGTATAGTGTAAGTATTGAATTTAGTTATTTTTCGAAGTGACAGTTTATTGCAGGTTGTTTACACAAGTGTGTATGAATCATACATTTTGGAGTTCAAATGTTGTGAACTGATGCTTGATGTATTGTTGCATCATGTTACTAGAAACTTCAATGTTTTTCTAGTTCCTTCAATTGAGTATTATTGCATCATATTATTGTGTAAAGTGTAGAACATTCAAAGCATCTGTCAGTCTATAAATACACATACAAAATGAAGTTCAAAGATAAGAAAATTAGTTAGATAGATATATAGACTAATTGTGAGTTTAGCACAACAGAGTAGAGGAGAATAATCTGTGTCAATTGTGTTCTAACATAACTGAACCAGTCTGTGTAAACTTTGAAGAAAAGGGATGATTATTTAAAGCTCTGCATACAACTGTGATGATTAACTGTGTATCAAACATTTGTATATACGTTTGACTTGTTTTAATATAATATAATATTTTAAACAAGTGGACTGTGTATTGTTTGTTTATTGTGGAAAGCTATCACCAACAAGTCATAGCCACCTACTGTAAAGAATCCTGCTCATTCCACATTTAAAAACCTGACACAAGGCAAAGTTCAATCACACCACTACCCACGGAACTGATTTATAAAAATATCTCTAAGTTTTGTTAAAAATTACATTTTGCCCCTCACTGCACAACTCCATGCCACATCTTCACAGAGCATCATACAGGAATTAGCCTCAGTATTTTCAAAGTGAAACAACTATATATATCTTCTTCTTACCTACCTGCTTCAAGTCGATGTAATAACTCTTCTGAATATTCCAGTGCACCAAAATACACTAAAGCTTGAGGAATTCTAAGGGAATACAAAACTGATATATGTTATTAGTCTCAATGATTTATTAAAACTAGGTAGTTGAAATTTACAATGCTACTAACATGCTGAGTAACTGGTCTTGAAATCAACAACAAAAATAAAACAAGTGCAAAATTTCTTGGTAAATGGTATTCAACAGGGTAAAGAATAATTTAATTTTTACATCTTTGTACCAGAAATTTTGTTGATAGGTTTAAATATTTACAAAAATTATGAATTAAAAAACCTTTTCAGATATTAAAATATTATACATATGCAAACACATTTACTTTTACACTTTGTGAATAACCTGAAGATTATAATTTTCCAACATAAAATACAACTTAACAAACTTATTATTTGGTGGCATGAAAAGTAGTTTAAAATCTTCCTTACAATTTCAATACATTAATTAAATTATTTAACTAATACTGTTTTCATTTGTGTGCTGATTGTCTTACAGTTTAACCCTTTCATAAGATGATAAGAAGTTTTAAGACAAGTGCCACCAAGAAAAAAACTTAGGTTTGATATAAATACCCTTTCATTAATCTATAACAGTGACAAACCAATCTTTCAAATATGTGTAAAAAAGGTATGACCTTCAGTCATTTGTAGGAGTCTACAATATGGAAAGAACAGCAGCAGGTTTAAGCAATTATTATATTTTTCTATCTATAATGGTTAGCAAGGAAAAGTAAAAAGTACTTCTGCATGACACTACATGTTAGTTAAAAATACCTTTCTGTCCAACTGAGTTAAATTAGCCTTTATGGCACAAAATTCTTATAGAAAAAGTGTAAATATGTGCATATTGTCACTCATTACTTTTCCTATCAATTGCATGCTACAGGAAAGTTGTTATATGTGTCACCCAATTGCCTTCAGCAGAAATATTTATTTCTTTGCTAACTTGAAAATATTTTAACTGATTGCAGCTCCAAAAGTATAAAATGTAGGTTCTAGTCAATGTTAAGCTGGATTAGTAACACCAGTCAATGCTGCAACAAAAGAACGTAAAATGATCTGGTTTACTTTCTATAGGGTTTTGCAAAAGAAGACAACACAGACTGGGGGCAAGTCCGTGTGGTTTGCTGTTGTCTAATCAAAATATCACTGGTGTGATTGAGCTGTCTGGCCTTTGTGGATGCTGGTTTTTAATTCAGTGATTTAACTCATCTATCTTTCGATGGCATTTCCTCCATCAATGATCCCAAAATCTATCTAGAACCATTATCATATCAAAGGATTTGTCATATTTCCAAATGGCTTGATCTAATTCCATTAATTCAAATTTCATGTTTGCTATGTTTAGACACTATGATATTCCAAGGTCAATCATCAGTGCCATACAAGAACTGTGTCTGTAGGTGGGAATTTATCAGTTCCATTGAAGGTCATCACAAGGATTCTTCAGAAAGATAAATAATAACTTCTGATCAGAAAAAGCTATATATTTAAAGCAAAGCTACAAATTAACCTTACAATCAGTGTAGCTAATTAGATATATAATTATTCTTCCATTCTCATTGGTGAGTACCATTGACTAAATTCTTAAGATTACCATTTAGAACATCATTACAAGTGTGGTTACTCACCCTCATCAACCAGGCAGTGATGAGAATAAGTAGATGATAAAAAAAAGCCTGACACCGTTTGAGTCCAATGATGGACACTAATGGTGCACCACATGCTAGAGGAGTTAGTTGCATTGTCCACAGAAAGCTTTTAAAAATTAGAAGCCCTTTGGTCTTTTTTTATATGTTTGTCAGAAATAATGTCCTTAAATTTTACATCAAAATAATAAAATTCAGTTAGTCGTTTGGTGAAAAATAAAAGTACTTATAGTTTCTGAAGAAATGATAGAAACATTAGTACTGACATGTTTTTTTTTCATCTCTTACTAAATACCACACATTAAATTCAATATAACCATAAAACGTTAAGCAGCCAAAGGTGAAATTTAAGTTTCTATCTGTTTCTACCAGATTGAGCAACAGCTTTTCACATCACTGGTTTTGAACTAAGCAACATTCCATTTATTAAAATTTTGTGGTCTAACAGTTAG